CAGGATACCTCCTCCTGAGGGCACAGAGTCCAAGCGCACACCTCCCTACGCTCCAGCTGCACGTTCTGCGTGGTGAGCTACCGAGAGTCGAGGCACTGCAGATTAAAAGGACCATCTCTCGTGGAGCCTGCTCCATAAAGCCAAACCTAAACACCGTCAAGAGGGAAAACCCCTCACTTTCCAGCCCCCCGCTCTGCTTACGTGAAGAACGCGCATCATTACGCACCGAGCCCGAGAGCCCACAGCCGGGGCAGGACACGCCACGCCACCGGCGGGCCTGCGGAGCAGATCTTCCTTCCGTGGCTCTGCAGACCAAGGATAGAAACAGCCTTCTCCACATCTCCTTTGTGCCAATCCCTCAGAGAAGGGATTGCTCAGTGCGGCAGAGGGAGCGGGAAGCAGCCAACACGGGTGGCTTAAGCTTAGTTTATGAAACTCATGTACTGCCCTAAGTGTGAAGTTCAGGAGCAGGCTCTCCCCTGCCCTCCCGTTCTGCAGTATTAAAATGCAACGCTGCTGCATGGAAATGTTGGAGCAGACACTTCTGTCGCTACCCCTGGACTTTTCAGAATCCTCCCGCTCTTTTGCCTCAATCTTTGGGTTTGGCTCTACTACACTGAAGGAAGTCTGATACTGCAAACAGGCTACAAATTTTTAGTACCCAATATGCTAAGCAGCCTGAAACAGCAGCCTACCACTCACAATAAAACAGAGCCTTTACCACCAGCACCTCCTGCGCCAGGTCTGAATCAGAGGCTGGGGCATCCTCCAGGCAAAAACCCACTGCGTTTGCCAGGGCAGCCTGCTTGCCCGTGGCTCTCAACACGCCAATCGGCCTGGCTCCTTTGACGCTAGCGCAAGAAGTGAGAAAATGAAACGTCAGAGCAACAGCACGTGGCAAATCCCGGCTCGTTTGGGGTTGTGCTTTCAAGAACCCAACAGCAGGCCACTGCATTCCCAGCACTGCATCCAGCTTCCAACCGCACATCGTAAATAGCCAGAGACCGGGAGCAGACATTTCCTCATTCGGGGATTACCAACCTAAGCACCTTGTGAACATCGTTACGGTTTTACAGCCTAGAGCCCCGGTACGGCTTGTAAGCCCCAGAACCCGGGGCAGCGGCTGCGAGGAAGAAGCTTTCTCCTTTTTGCTACGGGGAAACCAAGTCAGTGCCTCTGGGAGCGCCAGCAGACTTCGCCGGCCCTCCGTGCGAGGGGACGGGCCAGCAGCAGCGGACAGACCGCCGGGCAGACCACAGGACGCCAGCTCGCCGCGCCGGGCGGCCGGAGCCCGGGGCGAGCGGGAGGCGCCGGGCAGCGCGGACGCCGGGCCCGG